CCGCCGTACAAAAACCTCCTCCCATTAACCTCCATTGTGTAGACGGCCACATGCAACTTAGGAGAGTTAAAGGAGCAGAAAAATCCTTCATCTGAAGACGCTATAGATGGAGGTACTGCTGGCCAACAATTAGACAGTTTTTACTTTAATATTTGATCAAAAATACCATTTCACTTTTTTAAAAATGTAATTATGTGTCAGATTTGTAAGTTTTCTTTGGTCTTGTCGACAAAAAAACAAACAAATGTTGACATGATGAAGCTCAGCCTGCAGGTTTAAACCCTCATCATCGTCTGGATTAGGAGAGGGAGTCTGAACAGGATGATTATGGACAGTTTGTGACTTTTTGGTCGAGGAGACTTTCAGTGTGACACTGGAACTAAAAGGAACTAAACTCACTGTTTTGGGTAAGTTGGAGCTCCTACAAGTTCATTTCCACGTTGAGTAAAAATAAATGATTGCTCAGTATTGCTGCACTGTGACGACAAAGATGAAGCTCACTGAGTGAAGAGTGACTCAGACCAAACAAAACATAAATAAAAGGCCTTGGATCAGTGTATAAGAGCCATGACAAAACCAGGTATTTATAGTTTTAAGTGCACTTCAATGGTTTTTGTCATGAAGATTTGTTGCTGTGCGGCACCAGGGAAGCTTACTTCAGTCAGGGAACAAAACTGGCTGTTCTGGGTAAGTAAAGCGTCCTCCTGAGGAGTTCTAATCCAAAATGTTTCAGATAAGGAGCATAAAGAGGCATGCACATTTGTGACAATATAAGACAACAAATGTCAAAGTCATTCTGTGTATCATCACCGTCTCAGGTGAGTGGGGATTCAAAAGTTTGCCCAGTTGAAGCATGTGTAACATAAAGCCATTGGTGGAAAACTAGTCAAGAAAATCCATAGTGTTTAATATAGCTTTTGAAAAGCTTTTGAATGTAGGTAAGACGCAACACATTAGACTTTTAAAGCAAGCATTTAGGTAAAGAAATAAAAACAATCATGGCTGGTAGCACTAGTTCAACTTTTTGGGGGGGGAAAACAACATTTACAGAGTTAAGTAAGAAGCTAATGCAGTTAAATATTCAACATATATCTAGGTCAAGTGCAATGCATTGTTTAGTTTTCCTGAACTCGGTGTGAGATTTATGCCCTTTGAAGTTATTAAAGTAGCAAAAATAACTGTAGAAAGCAGCTGGGAGCTGGGAAGGGTTTTTGTTTTAGCAGAGAGTCTCTGTGCTACTACAATGAGGCTTACTTTGGAGCTGGAACTAAAGTCACCGTTTTAGGTAAGAAGGGCTCCAATCCCAACACGGTTCCGGCACTGGTGTCAGTTTAGTAATTATTAAGTAAGAAATAAACTTGTAAATACTTTTTTTTTAAAATTCAAATGAGAAATAAATTTGTCAAAACATGAGTAAGAAAGGGTGGAAACACGTGCGATCCATTCTCCATTAAAGGTTGGACAGATAAGAGGCTTCTGGCTCGACGCCCAGATTACCCTCACTGACGGTTTTTATCAGTTCACAAAGCTCTGTGAGCTGGCAATCAGAAGCTTACTTTGGAGCTGGAACTAAACTCACCGTTTTAGGTAAGCCGGTCACTAGTTTACCAGTAAAACAACCAGAAGGAGTGTCAGAAATTGAGGATAATAGTTGGAAAGCATTTGGTTTTGTATCCACCAGAGGAAAATTGTGTTTTATCAAACCCCCTTTGTTCTCACAAAAAAAAAATTGATTGATTTTGGCAAATCACTCCATTCCAGAATGATTGTGTTTTGTTGACATGTTTGCATACAAAGAATGCATTCAGGTTTAAGTGAAAAAAAGAGAGAATAATACTGAATGCTCCTCGGTGCTGCTTCAGGAGTTTTCATTAAGCCTTTTGTCATTGTGAGCAGCTATTCTCCCGCTTACTTTGGCAGAGGCACCAAAGTCACTGTCTTGGGTAAGAAACAAAAAAAAATATCACGCGCTTGCTTTCAAATTATTGATACACAACATTTGAAGTTGTGAAGTGTCTTAGATCCACTGTTGAAGCTCTTTTCTGTGAGGCTGCTAAATATGATGTAGAATTCATCATTATTACTGAAAGAAATCTTGGAGAATCAACAATATCGTATCTCGAACATAAAAAAAGAACTAACAATATTTCTAATGAATAGTTCAGATGGTAAAATGTTAACACAATTGTGTTTTTCTTTTCTTTTCCTCAAAAATTGAAGGGAAAAGCCTGATTTGCATGTGATACAGTTGTGTTTGTATTGGAAAAGGCAGGAAAAGAAATCAAATGCAGTAACTTTGAAACCTTGCAACTCTTGTTTAATAGTTACATGTGATTAATTGGTGCCTACCCTACTTCTTTTGGGGAAGGTAACTTCATAAAAAAGAATATTGGTTTTGCGATCAGACCTTATGATGGATTTGATGGTAATGCAGAGGGTAAAAATTTTCTTTCTGTCTTCCTGTCTTTGTTGTAGTGTTTAGAAAAGTCACAGTGAGTTGGTGGTTTAGTTTTTTTTTAACTTTTTTGACATAATTTCTAATCATTCCTCCAGATTCGAATATCAATATCACCGAGCCGACCGTGAAAATTCTTCGCCCCGCACAAAAAGAGATCAGGAACAAACGGGACGACGCAGAGAAGAAGACCCTGGTCTGCGCGGCCACGCGTTTCTATCCGGACCACGTCAGCATCTACTGGCAAATCAACGGGGAAGATGCCACCGATGGCGTGGCGACTGACCACGCGCCCGTCCAGGGGAACGACTCCTTCTACACAATCACCAGCAGGCTGAGGGTCCCTGCCCAGAAATGGTTCTCCTCCAAAACTAAATTCACCTGCGCAGTCAGGTTCTTCAATGGATCTGCGTACAACTGGAGCAATAAAACGATAAGCGGGGATAACGGTATGTTAGTTTAATATCAACCAGCATTCAAGTATTTATGCATCAAGAGTGTTTGTCTAACCTATTCATATCTCCATCAGATAAATCAAGAGTCATGTCAAGAGGTAAATATGTCTCTTTGTGGTTCTTTTCACCTGAAGTAATTATAGTGTTTGCGTTGTATTTTTTGAAAAAACTGTTCAAAAATGATTTTTTATTTGCCCTGGCCTTCCTGCAGTTGGGTACATGAGGCTCACACAGAACGCCAAACTCTCCTACACCGTCATCATCGTCAAGAGCTGCATCTACGGGGCCTTCGTGTGCTTCCTGGTGTTGAAGCTTCAGGTTTGTCCCAAACAAGCCCCAGTGCAAGGCACCATTCTGGATTATGAGTGGAATGAAGCGACTCTGTCATTTCTCTCTGTTACAGATCTCTGGTCGAAAGCAGAACAAGCGGGAGCAGAGCTGAAACTGAACTCACAAATGGCTGGCGTATTCATATATCATTTGCCAAGCTGCTTTGTCTCTGTGTCGTTCAAGTTTTAGTTGGAAATATTTCCCAGCTTCCCAATAAATGCTTGCTTGCAAAGTTTTCTGGTCAATAAAAGGCTTTTTAACCAACTCTGGTGATGGTGGGTGTTTCTGTCTTTGCTTGCTTTGACAAATGATTTCCAGGGAATAAGAGATATTAGAGATATTAACTCATTCTCAATAAGATAGGAGAATGATTAGATAGGACTAAACAAAAAGATGACGGTGTCAGTTGTCCTCCTGTCCTCCTGCCTCCTCCTCTGCTTGTCTCCACAGAGAGCTGCAGGTATTTTCAGTTTCTCACCCACACACCCATTTTCTGAGAAGTCTTTTGTTATTCTCCCACACAATACTGACACAACTCAACTTTAGGGTAAAAACTCTAGATCGGCTTTGTTTTCTGAAGGCAATTCCTTTGGTAGTTAAAACACCGTCGGTGGGGATTCAAGCAGGAGCTAAAAGCGCGACATCAGGGGGCCAGCGTTCTGGGTTGTACCGAGAAAGAAGTCAAAGCTGTTGTTGGCGAGGAAGACGAAGGAAGACGAAGCAAGACGAAGCCCGAAACCTGCAGAGCAGCGGCAGGATGTGGTCACAGAGCAGCCGAGAAAACAACGGGGGGGTGAAACCTTCCGTTTCATTGCAGCATCCGGCTCTCTGAGTGCACCTGCATGCGTGCATCAACACCCACACACAAACACACAAACACACACAATGCACATCTCTGAGCAAACAGCTGGACTATTTTTGTGTCAACTGAAGCTGAAAAGCAAACAAGCAAGCAAGCAAATATGACAAATACCAGCTGTTTGCCGTGATCTGGTGCAGAAATTTATATAGGAAGGTTTTTCATATGTTGCCAAAACGGAGTTAAAGTCACAAAGATCTAAATCAATTTGTTCTAATATGGCTTTCTAAGAGTGTTTGATTGCATTTTGGAATAATTTATCATATAAATGATGAGGTAACGTTCTTTCCATTAATGTCACAGTTTGCAACTGGAATCATTTTCTTAAAGGCACAGAAACACATCAATATTGTTTAAAAAGGGTGCTAAATATTCGGGAATCCAAAATACAATGATAATAGGCTGGGAAAAGCCCAAACATAAATCTACCCACAAAAAAAAAATCAATAAAGACAACCAGGCGTAAGAGACAATAAGTCACGAGGACGGTGTGAAAGACAAAGAAAACCAAAACAGAATGTGTCCTAGAAGAGAAATCGAGTATAGCTGGGCTAACTTCAAAGAGCTGGCCATGAAGGGTTAGATTCTGGACAAAGTCATTGGAACTGAGTCCATAATAAAGAAATGCTCTGATCAAATCAAGAAAGAAAACGTTAAACATCAAAACGCACTTTAAAAAACCATTGGTCTGAAATTCTTGACCGCATCCAACTCCACAATTTGTTTAGTAGAGAGCACAAAATACCACGAAAAAACCACAAAATGTCAAACAGCAGCAAAGCAAAAATGGTGGGGGGCAGGAATTGGAGCCAAAAAAGTCTTCAGTTCCCAACTACACTAAGGGAAGACCGTGGACATACATTACTGTTTATTGGATTGCACTTTTAAAAGATAAAAGCAGACCAGTAATACCACTTTGCACTTCATCAACCATGATTGCACAGAACAAATCATTTGCACATAAGCAATACTTTACTTGAACTGACCTGTCCAATTCTGTCATCCTGGTGCGTGGCCAAAAGCGTCCCTAGGGAAACGAGCACTCCTTTAATTGTTCCCTCTCCTGTCCGAGTGTTGGACAGCAGAGGGAAGGCTAAAGGATTTAAAGTTTTAATATGGACGTCTTTTGAAAAAGGAAAAAAATGTGTCAGTTTTAATCAGTTTTTTTTAAATATATAATAGCAGAAATGGTGAGGGCCCAGGCGACAAACGAGGAGCACTATTAAAGACACCAGTTTTGGTTGGTGGAGTGAGCCGCTATGGACCGTGTAACTGATTTCTGCTGCTGCTATGTCTGAGATGAACACGCATGGCTGCCGTCTTTCGGCATATCATCTAGAAGCAGAAGAGGTCATTTCTAGCAGAAAAAACGAGCCTAAAACACCTCATTTTAGGGTTCGCGAACTTCACTGGCGGCCCTTCGAGCACCTCTTCTTATGAACATTTATGGACATTTATTTTTCTAAACAAAGCTGCAGAAAGGATTAAGATGTTAAATTCAAATAAAAAAGGATAAATGTTTTGTAATCAAACTCAGAGCCATAATCGTGACCATTTCATTCTTCAAAAATAGGTATGACTATAAAAGAACAAAAACATATAGAGTGGCTTTTTTATATTCTATGTTCTGAGGCCTTTTCCTATGATTGACAAGGACTCTAACAGGTACTTTCCTCTCGGAGAAAACCTCTGTGCAGGCAGCAGATGATCTGACGTGTCACCGTGAGGAAAGCACAGATGTTGCTTACCAAATGAACGCTGACCCCGTTAAATCCAGGGTTCCCAACAAGCTCCGACAGCACCACAATGAGCCAGCTCACATGACGTGACCCCGAAACTAAAACTACTCATTGTTAATCATTTCTATCATTTCGTGTTTTGACATGTTAGGTTCACATTCAAAAGCTTCCATTTTTCTTCGAGAAAAACCCCTCATCACAACAATTATATTCACAGACTGCAATCAAAAGATTAGAATACTTGAAGTCTGTTATGTAAAAAAAAAAAGAATGATGGGATTATTTGAAGAAATTATTTTTCTAAAGCTCATAGAAGTATACTGTCAGTGCTAATGTAAACTATAATGTTCTCTTAGAGGAA